TAGTGAAATATATAACTTTATTAAAGTTATGCAAAGTGCAGCAACCAAACACATATCAATATAAAACTTTACTTTTTTTCTCAAGGAGCAAGTAAAAGCATATTATTAACAGGTAAAGGTGTAATCTACCTTTGGGACCATGTTTCATGTTATACCCATAGCTAGTGTGTAACATGAAACATAGTCACTTTACCCAAATTTCCACCTTCAAACTGTGCCCCCCCCCCCCCTCCCCCCCCCCCACAGACACCTATCTGAATCATGGGCCACTTCTCTTTGCAACAATGTGTTTTTTACATTTAGCTCAGTGTGGCTTCACCCACACAGTCACATCATCCATCCACATGGATCTGTGAAGACAAGTTCTATCTGCCACCACAGCAGAGGGATTCACAGATTACAGCAGTTCAAGTGCAATAATTATGTCATGTCCTTCATTCCCAAAAGGGAAGGACAGAACCTCCATACCAAGCCAGGGCTGGGATGTTAAAGTGGACCTTTACCCCCTTTTACTAAAAATCACATCAGCATGCAGCTTTGTATGCTGATTTAAAATGATCTTACATTCATTAGTTAAACAAACTTGTTTTTCATTTACATAGAAATAGAGTTCATCTACTTACTGGTCCAGTTCTGGCCCAAATGATGAAAGCGCCAAACCACTGCATCTTGGGAGGGTTACATCTGCAGAGCATTGCTGCGAAATCTCATCTGTAATCTCACAAGATCTCAGTGAAAGGCATTTTCCTCCCCTGAGGTGATGTGCATGGTCACATGTCCTAGTCACATGCCTAGTCAAATGTACCAGAGTTCCAGGAAGTAAAGGGAGTGCTATTAATCTGCCCTTAGTTAACATGGCCACTGTCAAAAGACTGGAAAAGAAAAGAGAAATAAGGTATGCAAAGAATACAAAGCCTGCAATTATCTAGAAGTATGTGTTTGTAGACTGTCATTACCAAATATGTCTAAAGGTGTGTTTGTAGTTATTTTAAAGATATGGGTAAAGGTCTGCTTTAACAATGCATGAGCCTGTGCATCACATTTATGACTGAAGTTGTAATGCTCTGCAGGCTTCAATGCAAAATAGATACACATGGTTTGTTTTATTAATGTGAGTGCCTTTGTTACATTTTTGCAAAAAGTAGATTTAATTCTGCATTTTACACACAGTCAGTGTACTTTGCAGTACTTCATTTTAGAAAGTCTATTATTGCCATTGTCAGGGCATATACATATAGCACTTGTAACCAGACCAGCAGATAACCCAGCTAAGCACAGGATTTTTTACACTATTCTCATAAAAATTGAATCTTGTGTTAAGATTTTTAGCTAGTTACATAAAACACCACAAAACTTGTAAAAATTGTGATATCGTCATAATCTGCCCTAACAACTGTTTCAATCACACCTCCAAAACATGCACTTAAGTAGATAAATTAGTTCTGCTACTGACAAGCAAATTCTGACTTTTTGTCAAAAGCTTATCCCTTATTTCCCCCTCTAACCACTCCCCTGGCTGAAATATGCAGAGAGCAAAAGCACAATGCTCTCACAGGAAGGGTAGATGTGTATTTTATGTACATACTGTACCAGGGAACTTGCCAGCTTTCACACTGAGGTGCTATTTTTTTGCCAAATCTACTGGCTACCCAGGCTCTGTTCTCTCGCTGACTGGAATAGCTGCTAGAGGAAGGTCTATGCTCTCTCCTCCCTCAGCTGACTGTGGTAGAAAAGAGCAGTGAGAGGGTCATCTGCTGAGAACAGACCTCCTCCTCAGTATGGGCACCCGCTGGTGGGTGAGTGAGGATGGGTGGATTGCCGGTCTTCCTGTCTTCCCTTTCCATGTGACATATCACATGACCAGAGACAGGAAGAAGAGATTGACCTCATTCTAGGACAGGTGCCATGCTGAGAAGGAGCTTTGAACTGTGAGTACACAAAGAGTGGGGGGAGCAACTCAACCACAGATCACTCTTGCCCTCAACTCCCAAAGAACCCCTTAGCAACCCTACTTCCCTCAGAGCCCTTCAGTTGCCTCCTTGCTCTAGAGCCACACTGTGTGTGCCCCACAGAGCCTTCACGCCTAGCCTCCCTGCTATCTCCCCCCTCCTTAATTCCACTGATACAGAAGCAGATGCATGTTTCTCCTACTGAAACCGATGCAGCAGCATTTTTTCCTTCCTGTACATTTTTCATTCAATTCTCTGCAACATGCTACAAACATTGCCATTATTTTGGCAAATACTGCAGTCATTACATATACATTAGCATTGTGTGCTACATGCCCCACTATTTGCCCTGCACCCTACTCCACCACCTGTCCCACTTCTGTTCTCAGGCCCACTGATTTCCAAAGGTTCCAAGGTACAGTATGTTGATGTGTGGGCTGTGACTTACAACCTTCCAGTGATAGATTGTTTATTGGGCCCCCGGGCTGCTTCCAGTTTATGGGCCCCATTTTAATGGAATCATGCACAAGCCTTTGTGTATTGTGTCTGATATCATGGCAACAAATAAAAAATATTTTTAAAAAACTTCCCAGTATAGAAAAGGTATATGTACTATTTGATAATACTATAAACAGCGCTGATATGCAGCTAAATGTTTTCATCATTCTCAAAGAACTTTACAATGCCTGCATTTAGCAGGGACTGTAGCTTAGTACATTTCTGCAGCCTACAAGTTCATTTTAATAAGCAACTTCCACTTTCACTTGCTTCTTCTAACAAATACTTATCTTTATCATATTTTTCTATTTATTATTTTATTTAAAATCAACACTTCCCATTGACAAGTGATGAGTTAGGCCTCATTCATCCCAGGCCTGTTGGGCCTGCTTTGGGCAGCATTTCTGCGTGCAGTTCCAACACATAGACAAGGCAACTAGCCTTAAGTCCTATGTTTCAGTTCACACCAACATACTACATTGGCATGTGCTTTAAAAAAATAGAGCAAGTTGCATTTTTGTGCAGTGTATTGCGATGTGCTACAATGCAGTGCATAGAGCTAAGTGAAAATGTCAATAAAGTTAAAAAGGCAATGTGTTTTAACAATGCATCACACCGCCACTACAGAAAGCACACAAGTGGGCACCTGTTATACAGAACATTACTCGTGCCCGCTGGTGTGAATGGGTCCTTAAGGTTTTCTGCTGCTGCAGTAATATACTTTTTCCTGTTAAGTCCAGGTATCTGTCATTCTCTTCTTCTGCACTCTGTTCCCATAGTGGTCCCCCCTCCCTCTATGTATTTTACTACTGTGTAATTGAACTCAAGTGGCCATTCTAGAAATATTTATCAGTAGAGCTCATTGGTGAATATTTTGTTCTTTGACTGTGCCAGGTTACTATGGAAACTCAGCACTCAAGGAGCTTCCCCCCATCTGCCTGTTTTAGACAACTGCCTTGAGCGGACACATTTATGTGCCAGAGTGAAATGGGAATAGGGACAAGCTTCACACGTGGCACCTGAATATAAAAAAAAAATGGAGAACGTTGGAAAAGAGGCCATCCTTCCATTCAATTTATGTCATTTTTACTATACTTTTTGTGCTACTTTGCTAATTTTATATTTAAATATTTAACTTTTTATTTCCTTACATTTTGTATGACTTATACGCTATATAACATTAAAAAGCAAGACCACAAAACAAATAAAACATAGTGAACTATTAATGATGTCCAATTGCTGTGACTGTGCTACAATCAGAATGTTAATCTACCTTAATCTTAGGGGTCTATTCACAAAGCTGCCGAGGGATCTGGCCGTAGCTTCGGCGATCCTTCGGCTAGCTTCGGCACCAGGACCCCTTCGGTTCTGGAGAACCGGGGGGGTGCTGTACGGGCTATTCACAATAGCCCGTACAGCTCCCGATCACGGCCGAGCGGCTCAGTCGAGCGCTGAGCCGTGCATATATTCCACCTCAGCCTCAGCCTCAGCCTCACATGTTCATTGGAGAAGTTCCTCCTGAAGTCTGTGCTGTGTATTTACCTATTGTTTCTGCATGCTGTAACACCAATCACATTTCAACTTCCCAGGCAGCTTTAAATACTATTAGTGGCTGTGAAGAACTTGTCAGTCCTTCTGTGGGTGAGATACATCAAGGGGGGCATAGCGGTTGTGACTTGGAATGCATTACGAACAGTAAGGCAAAGGGGGTTTCCAGATTGGCAAAAAAGGGGAGTGTTGTGGACTGGTGTATTACATACAGGTAAGCAAAAGGGGTTTTCAGATTGCCAAAAAAAGGGGAGTGTTTTGGAATGGTATATTACATACAGGTAAACAAAAGGGGTCCCCAGATTACCGAAAAAGGGGTGTGTTGTGGACTGGTGCATTGCAAACAGGTAAGCAAAAGGGGTTCCACTGTAGTACACAGTGATCCCATGTTATTTGGAACATGCTGGACTTTCTATTATGAAAGGGAGATAGGTGTGCATTTGCATGTTTTCTGAACAGACCCAAATATCAGAAGATCAAGTAAAGTTAACGTTGTAAAAAGCGGCAGTCTTTAGTGTGTCACCTGCTGGCTGCAAACAGAAATATGCAATATTTATATATGTCATGATTTATTTTGTTTTGAAAACAATAAATAAAGGACAACATACAGCAATACAATGTATTCCATTTAACAAAAGCATGTTCACCATGCTTTAAAGAGCATGACTTATGCAGAAAGAAATTTTCCAGTCTGCTCCTGACTAGATCTGAATTGCTAACTGGTTTAGTGCATCAGCTTTTGCCGTGGCATTTCATATACAAGATTAAGAATAATAGGTTACATCTGACATTTCTCATAAGGTACATAAGACACACTGCAGTTCATTTTATTGAAACTCTAGCATTAATGTTACGTTTTTCCATTCCTATGTGATCAATCCTTTTTAAGCACTGCAGCTGTTGTAAACATTATAACATAAATGGAAGTGAAAAAAACAAATAACTGCACTATACATTACATTTATTGTGCTAAAGCTAAGTGATCATTTGAACTGACCAATGTTTCTGTAAAATTTCATAGGCAATATAAGTTTAGCTCCCATTATTTTCCTTTGACAGCAAAATGCCTTGAAATGCAATGCAAACAAATGTGCGCCAGGCATAAACGTATCAGAAAAAACAAAATTGCATTACCCTTGTTGTCCTCCGGGACTAACTAATGAGAGAGACTTTCAAAGCAAACTGAAACTTAAACTGTAATAAATGTGATTCTTCCTTGACATGCATAGTTATCAGGCTTTTAACAACTCGAAAGTCGCACTTTGCCAGTTATTCTAAACAATTTTAGGTGCCAATCAATAAAACTCACTTTTAAATTAGGAGGTTACTTTCAGCTTACATGGAAGTTAGTGTCAATAAATGAGTCAGTTTTATACGCCAATGCTCTCCTTTGAGTTGTGATAAAGTGTTTGATGAGGAAAATAAGAAAGCAGATGACACGCTAGACACCGGTGGATACAATTACCCCCTTATGTGCTTCTGGTACCACTGCATCAGCACTCATCATCTCCTGTCTTTCCTCCATGAATTTACTCATGTAGAAGTCTCTAAGCTACTTTTCAGCACAGCAGGCAGTAAGCCTTTCCTAATTACCACCAGAGAGACCCAGATGCTTTTGTCAGCTTCTCCAGCAAAGTAGAAATAGATTATATGAAGACAAACTAACCTAAGGATCCAAAAAGTCCAGGGGAAGAAACACATCTGTGTCATTCTATCAATAAAAGTACATTAATAATACTGTTAAAGCCATCATAACACTATATTTATCAAACAGATGAGGTCTTCACTGAAAAGCCCCTACATTGTAATGTATTCGGTCTTCTCTCAATGTAGCAATGGGTTGACTTTATTGAAGACTTTTCAGCATTTTTATAAATTGAGGTGCATCTATACAGATTTGCAAGTCTGCTTGGGCAAAACTAAATGTTTTATATTTATTTAAATCATGCAGGAAAGGTAGCTCCATCCGCTCTGCTGCCAAACATTGAGCAAGATGTCAGATAGAAGAGGGCTGAATGACCTGACAGATTAAGAGACTAGTCACTCACTCCATTATACAGTTTTAAAGCTGCACATTCTAATTAAAAATAGTGTACTAAGCGATACCAGACCTACTTTGGCAAGAAGGCTTCAGAAAGGAGCATTTCAGCTATGCATTTCAACAAAACTCTTACACTATGTGTACAGTACTTAATGATATTGTTCTAATTGCAGTATAATAACCTTTGTCCTCATATTCTACGGCTACTACAATCCCAAAATGCAAACTGTCCCATAACAAAGAGCCTTATCGTTGCCTTTCCTTTTGTGTTCTTGCTCAAAGGGGAATTTCAAACACCTATAATCCCTCTATGTACTTATACAGTATATCCTATGTATTATGTATACCAGTAGTATCGGATGATTGGTCCTTGGCCATAGTGATGTTTCAGCGAGAGGAACCATGGCGCCCAGCTGGAAACCAGGTACCTGACACACCCAGAAGTGTATTTTATCTTTGGTGGCTGTAGCTCTGCACTTTCATGTATATTTCAGGGACTGAGTGACAAAAAATGTTCTCATCTTCTCCCACAAAACAGGTGCTATCTTATACATGGTGGTGTCCTCTAATGCATTTCCCCCTTAGGGGCTTAGTCGTAGTCTAAGACTAGACTAAGCCTGTAAAGGTGTAAAGGTGTATAATATTAGAGATAGGAGGCCACTTGGTGGCACACCTGCTGGCTGTTGGATTATGTAAGGTGAACGAGTGGTGTGTGGTTTTTCCTTGGATGGTGTCACTACGGACCAGCTCCCAGCCAACACCTGTAACACACCCGGGTGATGCAGCTTGATGCAGGAGAGAGCGGTGAGATTCCTCTGCACCTATAAATATTGCTCCATGTGTTGTGACAGTTCGGGCCAAAGTGCAGTGAGATGAGCTGACTTTCTTTTTTTTATAGCTTTATTTGGCGTGTACAAACTGTACACTCCATTTAGGTCGCCACACAGCAGCACAGTGTACTGCACTGTGGTGTCCTGCAGTGCAGTCCAAAATGCAGCATGTCTGAATTTATTCTCAGTGCAGCACACACCACACCATAGATCACACCCTTATTTTCTATGTGCCCAAGTGGTGACTGGCGTTGTTCAGTGGCTGTAAAACACCAGTCACTGCATACAGTGTGAACGAGTCCTTAACGCCACCAGAAATAATAAATATGAAACTATTATACTGATGACATAAAAGTGTATTAGTAAAATAATTCTTAACACAATTTTGGAGAGAGTAGGTTAGACTCTCTGTTAACTTTTATTGAAGTGTATTTTGCTGGCTTTTAATAAAAAGCCCAGTATGTGGTATCCCTAGTTTACAAAGTTTGAGAAGTTTGTATTGCTGTCTTTATCTCTGTTGGGGAGATTCACCCCTCTGTTCGTACTGGTGACCATTGTCACTGAGAAGAAAAAATTAGGCAATATTTTAGAGTTGTCCCCAGAACAAAAGGAAAGGGGAAACCAATGGGGACTCCGGTTCCAGGAACAACTAGGAGGGGTATTCCTGTCACATTGCAAGATTTCCTTTAACATACTGTTGTGTCCCTGAGACAGAAAGTGAAGGGAAATTCTCCCAATTGTATACAGTGCAAAAATATCTCCATTCCAAAGGAACCTGTAGTGCAGTTCATCTAGCCAAATCTGAAATATTGGTTTTAAGTGGACTGACCTTTTAAGGGCCTCTGGTACAGATGTTTCACCCCTGGTAACAGACAATACTACACAAAACAATTATCTTGTGTGCACAGCAACAGCAAACATTTACCAATGCTTTCTCTTTTGTTTTCCAATTTTACCTATTAAAAAGATCAGTGTGTATTTTACTGCTGTTCAGTTCTCGAGCTGTGCCGTGTTTATTTGCCATGTTATAACTGTGTAAACAATTGCGCCTATCTCTTTCCCAGGACACGGGAAGGTGGAATGATCCAGTTAGAGTATCCTGTATCCCACAATAATGCACATCTATGTTATGTTTATAAATTGCTCTGTTTCAGTTTCTTGATTAATGACATCTAAACAGCTACTCAAAGACAAAGCATTAGAGAAGGAAACCGCTAACGGGTGCCTACTGCGCTTATTAAATTAAATTTAGAATTGATGGTGCTGTGAAAAGTGTAAAGTGTGTGATCCTTGCAAACATTATTTCTTTTCATTCATGATTTTTAGTGTGACTTAATGAAAAACAGCACAGTTGTCAGCTGAGAATACTGTATTGAATAAAGCAGAATCATTATTGATGTAGATAATGGTATTGCTGCAATCTTGAGCAGAAGCTGAGTTGCAGGGTACAGTTGTATTCTTTTTATTACAATCTAATCTTATAAGTAACTTCATAAACAACCCCTGCCCTGATTCTAAAAAGCCATGTTAAAGGCAAACCCCAGCTTCATTTAAATCGTAAACACCCATTGTCCTGCATGGGTTCAAATCAAATAAAAAAAAAAAAAAGCTTACCTCTCTGCAATACCTCCTATTTTGGTGCTGCCCTTGCAGACTAATCCTTCTGTGAGCCTGTACCAGTCCTCTTTTGGGCTGAATGACAACCAGCATTATTTAACCCACTTCCTGCCAGCCTGAGCTCCAAGGAGAAAGCTGCAGGAAACAGTGCCACAATGTTATGTAACACCGGTTTCTGCAGTATTCAGGGTCCACCCACTGCTGGAACAAGAAGACCCATGGTAC